CACATGTCATAAGAAAAAAAAATATGGTAATGATATGTGTACAAATTTTTTTTTTTTTTTGAATAAATTCGCAAGGAGTCATATTCAGATTCGAACCGTCGCCCTAGAAGAAAGGGAGAATGTATTTATATATAGTTTTACGTCACTAGACCGAAGATTCAAGTGCGATATGTGTACAATATTGTACAATATTTTTATTTATGACTTTCAGGTGTTATTATGTTAATTGGTATATATTATGTCATATAAAATTGTATAAATTGTATAAAAAAAATGGTAATGATATGTATACAATATTTTCTCTTTCTTTCTTTCCTTTTTGACTTCCTCCATGGCTCTTCCTCTGTTCAGTGAAAGTTGTGAAACTCTTCTTGAGAAAGTTACTCAAGGCCTATTTAGTCGAAGTTTCTCTCAAAAAAAGAACATGAGGAAACTGACAAAAAATCAACTTAGTTTGGCCAAGGAAATTAAGGTTTTCGGCACAAAATTTAAGATAAAGTATAATTGATTGTAATGAAAATGTAAATGATTATATTAGGTACATAGTTAATTATAAAAAGTATATAATTATTTATAAAAATATAATCATTTATTTTCAAAATATAATCGATTACCTCACTTTTCTATTAAAAAATTTCATAGGAAGAGTTTCCTGAAATAGTTCTAATATAATTACTTACAGTTTCATTATAATCAATTGTACTTTGTTTCAACATCCTTATTAAGAACTTTAATTTCCTTGGTTAAGCTAAATTGACTTTTAATGGACCTCTCTGAATTCTTTTTCCAAATGAAACTTGACCGCATTCCCCTGTTGTGGTCCATTGGTGACCATTGCAACCCAACAGGGTTGCCGGTGGATTGCACCCCTAATCAGTAGTCGAACCTTACCAAAGAATAAAGTACTAACTTCTAACTTCTAACTCCTAACTTTTAACTCTTAACCATTGCCTCTGTCCAAAAAGAAAAAAAAAATGAAACTTTAACCAAACAGGCCTAAAGGATTGACACATTTAAGGATTAATTCCGCTTAATAGAACTGCGGTGGGGGTTTAACTATAGTAACATTAGGACTTAATTGAAAACATCAAAAGTTTTTAGACTTTATTATTATTATTATTATTTTAACACGTGGTATCTATGTGTCTGTGACTACGTACGGTGCCACATTAGCATTCAGCACCATGCGTGAATTTCCGTTAATCCATTAAACGGAAGTCTGTGATACAATTCTTGGTAGACCGAAGATAGAGAAAAATTAATTTTTAGATTAAAGGGATATAACTACTATACTTAATAGCTAAGTTATTAAATTAAGCCTTAAATAAACAGACCTCCAACCTTTTCTCTTTCCTTTCCCTGTTTCCCTTCCACCTAACAATGGTGGAGGATTGTAAATATTTGCTGTTGCAAATGAAGCATTGGTTAAATAAAAACCAAAGAAATTGCAATGACCATTTCTTGGAAAGCACACTTTAAAATTCATTTCTTTTTATCTCGGTAAAAAAAGTTGAAAATATTATTTTTATTGAGGTAAGGTAAACATGTTTTTATTTTAGATATTTCATATTGCAAAACATGCTCAAATAATGGTTTATAACCATACTATTGATGTCCCTTAAAAAAAAATTATATTAAAATTGTAAAATGAAGTAAAATGAAGAAAAAATTCAAAAATTCAAAGGCGGTTAGGTTAAGGACTTAA